ATATTAAATATCTATCCCACTGACAACTAACCCCAACACATTCTGCTAATTTAAAAGTTACCATCTGTTAATGAGTTATTATGTGAAGAGACATAACAGTTCTCCCTGCTTTCAACATTTATATTAAATATCATCATTTGTTAACCTACAGTATAATCTATTTCCCAAAACTTCAGATTTTACAAAGTATAATTACTTGTGGCTTACATTCCAAGTTACTCAAGCATTTTAACAATTAATTACACAACTTACTCATGCTACATATTTAAATGTATAATTACCAGTCTAGGGCTAGAAAATAGCAGGGGCCAGTGAGCCAATGGCCCGTAAAAAGTGCCTGTTAGGTAGCCCGCATGGCCCCTTAAAATCAAAAATGCCATTAACTCCACATAAATTGATCTAAGCATTTCTTAGCCGAGCGGAACTTATGACAAACCAAACTCAGTCATGTACAATACACAAACACTGTCACTATGAATGTCTGTGCAACGAATGCTTAGCTCGAAGATGTGTGCTAGCTGCACTGGTGTACAATGCATACAGCATGTATAGCCTATCATGCCTAGCAAGCAGTATGTACACGTGTTTATGTACTGTGTATATAGATCAAGCAATGCGCTTAAGATGTTTTGTTCCACGTGGTTCATAGCCTTTGCAAAAGCTGTCACAGCTAAGGTAACCCCATTTGATTGCACTATCCAAAAGGATCCACACTAGTGAGCTGCGAAGCCAGGAACAAAGCTACTCACCAGTCTGTCGGATATCGCAATCTAGGGGTCTACGGCAAAAATACAAAACACAATTTTTTGATAGGTATTTTGCTATTAAACCTTTCAGGTCCAGAAGGAGTCTGAAAGGTAAACATGGGCAGTCAGAAAGTGTTATTTTTATTCTCCCCACTCGCAAAAACTTTGGTTGAACAAGTACTAATGCTGCAAAGAAATTAAGATTTAATATTTTTGAGTGCTTTGATGAAATAATGCAAAGCTTAATGTTGTTGAAGCATGAAAGACTGATTCACAAGAATGGCTGGTGAATAAAGTAAACAAGGAGAGTTGACACCTCGTAATAAACGTGAGGGAAAAACCAAGACAGGAGGGAGCTGGAAACAGGAAGTTTGTTGAAAGAAATAGAGGTTGATACTGAAACCGAAGGCTGTTCGCTGTATACGAAGGCTTGAATATAAAAGGTGGCTGTTGACGAAGCAGGCGTGAAGACTGAAGGAACCAGGACTGTACCAAGGAGATTCAGATCAAAGTTAACACAAGTTGAATAAATAAGTGATAATTTGGGTCTGAAGCAATTAATTAATTCTTGTTAGAGGATGAATATATCTAAAACTAGCAAAGATAGTAACGTTTAAATAGTCTTCAACTTATTAAAATTGATGGCAAAAAGATTAAAATACCTTTGGTTGAATTATTATTGAATATAATTTAAATTGTAAATATAGAATATGAAGGAGAGTGGTCCTTCTCAGAGCATGGATCTATAGATCCAATTAAAATAATTTTGCTGTGGGGGAAAATGGGAGCATCTCGAGAACACCCACTTTCACTGATCTAGCACTGAATATTCTACCTGATCAGTGCCTGAATTGTTAAGGGTTAGCTGGAGATTACGAAGCTTTTTTATACTTTTATTTATTTTTCTAAAAAAAGGCTATATAGTATGGGTTGAGGGCTGCACACCACTTGTTGCACTAATCTGACACTGCACTGAGTGATATTTGGACCCTAAATGCTGCATACTGAGACACAAGTGTATGTTTTAAGGAAGGGAATGGGATATCATGGACAAAGAGGTTGTATAATGTTGGGCTTAACACTGACCCTTGGGGGACACCGGCTTCGAACTTCAAGGGCCTGGAAGTCGTAATGTTGATCTTAACTTTAGCTGTTCTGTCAGTAAAAAAGTTGGATATCCAGTGTACAATAGGGGTGGGTACATTATTATTGATTAGTTTATAGCAAAGTCTGTTGCACCATACTGAATCTAAGGCTTTTTGGACATCTAGAAAGGTAGCTATGTTTGTATGCTTTCTGTTGAAACCTGTTCTGATAAGTCTAAAAAAGTGGTCAGTGGTTTGTCTACATTTTTTGCCTGAATTTTGTATGTTGTTATTAATATTGTTGGTTTCTAGTTAAGCATTTAATCTGTTTGTGATTAATTTCAACTTACCAAGGGTGTTTAGTAAGCTTATGGGTTTGTAGCTGCCGAGATTAGTTATTTTTCTTGGGGATTACCTTAATGATAGCTGATTTCCAAACAGATTGGTAATAAATTGATAGTAATGATAAATTATAGATTGTTACTAAGTGGGTTATGATTTTGTTGGATAGGTTTTTCATGACTAAATTGTTAATTCCATCCTCTTCTGTGGCTTTGTATTTTGTTTCCCAAGGTTAATTTTGATTTCTGTTAAAAGTTATAGGGTGGGTATACAAATCATCAGAACCAAAAATTTGCAATTTAGATACTGGGAATTTCAGTGAAAGAAAAGTGTTGACTATTAGAAATGTGTTGATTTACACTATTGAAATGTTGCGTGTCAAACCAGGTAATATTTGGGGTTAGAAAGGTACTTTCAAAATATTGGGTAAAAGGTTCAGACTATTATCAGTTGTGGCATTGTTGTTACTATGTTGAATTTTATTAGAAATGTGTTGATTTACACTATTGAAATGTTGCGTGTGAAACAAGGTAATATTTGGGGTTAGAAAGGTACTTTCAAAATATTGGGTAAAAGGTTCA